ATTGCATATTAGGGAAGAATTTTAAAATTTTCAGGAAAGCAAAAACTTATGTGTTTGATACGTATGTTTTTGTGCCAGACATCCCTTAAAGTTAGTGAATATCAAAAATGATGCTGCCAGCAGTTAAGCCATCTCATATTTTGACTTTGTGCAACATAAGTACATGTTTTTGTTTTGTCTATACCTTGTTGCAATGTATTACCTTTCTTCCCTTAGGCCTGAATAATAAATTAATGAAGCGTGTATCTGACATGAAAAGATCAACTTGTGCGGACACAATCAAGACTTTGTGTGAGGTCTAGAACATGATTAGAATGGTTTTCTGGGTCCTCATAAAGAGAAGCAAAGAGTGGAAGGCATGAAACTAGCAATCAAACAAACAAGTTTAGAAATGTACTTTTTACTATTCCTAAACTTAAATTCCCATCTGTTCCTGAGCAGCAAAGTGACTTTCCAAAAAAAGACAGACTTGCATGTTGTTATTATCAAGGTTTTAAAATCGTAGATGAATAAGTAGAACATTTCAGTAATCATTCAAAGAACAGAATTCAAGCCAGAACTGAAGCTTTAAAGCCTGTTTACAACAACAGCAATAAACTTTTGAAAACAATTAAGAAGTTGCTTAGCTAGTTTTGAAGAAGTTGCTACTGAAACTTTTCTTCAAGAAAGCTAAATATTTAAATTGGATAAACACTTTAGCAAGTACAGTCATTAGCTAATAGGTTATCAAAAAGCTATAGTTCTTTTGCTTCCTTTACAAAACTGCAGGATATGAAGGCCAAGGAACCAGTAAATTTGAGAATCTTACCTCTTTATTAAAATGACCATCTAAAAGCAGATCTTGTTGCTGAATATTACCAATTTTAGTATTATATCTCAGAAGAAAAAAAGAATCGTGTCAACCACCAACATTTATTCACAAGAAGTTACAAACTGCATTGTATCTTCCTTAGTATTGAAATGACTTAATGGATTTCCTTATAAATGATAGTAATAAATTGAACAGTGAATTGCATAGTCAGCATCTAAACTGTGAAGTCATAATGTGTAGGTCCCATGTTTAATTATCTTTATTGAATCTACTGCTGTCTGAAATATTCTTGTTATATTTCCCTCAGACAATAAACTAGAATCTGAGTGGATTACTCTCAGCTGTATTTAGCTACCTGAAAATGAGCTATTTAGTTGAAGGTGGCCACACAGGTCTCTTGTAGTTAATGAGAGAAATAGCTTCATTTGAGGATTCAGTCCAATGATCGTAGATGATTTAGGCTGTGGTGACTTTCTCCTTGGAGGTGCACTCTCCTCTCATGAGAAAGAGGAACTTTGATGGTGAATTTATAATGAAATCTTAACTTTCAGATGCCTAGGTGGGATGCATTCCATCTCCATATATGCAGAATCTGCACTTCACTTTCTATGAGGAAAGCACACAGCTTTCTAGACATTTCCTAGTATTAGCATCTTCTTGCATCTTGAAAGCAAGTCTTTAATAATTGTCATACTATGACTGACATGCTGAAGCTTCATTTTTGTTTGGCACTACCTGAATTAACTATGATTAAAGAATTACACAATAAATTTTACTTAAAAGATCCATGATAGGCCACATCAGTTTACCATTTTTAGTGGTACCATTTGACTTTTTAGAAGATAGTAGGATTTCCTGGTACTGTAAGATTATAAATGACTTGCTAATTCCTTTTCATTAAAAAGAAAGATCAGAAACGTAGTGAAGCCGCTGAATAAAAATGAAGATAATATCCGCTGAATAAAAATGAAGATAATATATGTTGTGACAAGCAGATGGAAAAAGTAATGAAAGAATTTGCACTTTACAATTCTGTTTTGATCCAAGAATTACAGCGATGTTCAGAAATTTTTTTTCCTGTCCTTTTCTATAAAAGGTGACTACATAATTACAAGGTATATGTTATATATGGTATACATACATTTATATATATAAGTATATATTTTCGTGTATAAGCTACTTGAGTTCTCTGTGTACCTGCATGTGCATACATTGTCTGTTCATGCGGTGCTACTACTAGTTACGGACTTCAGTATGTTAAGTACTCTATAGACAGACTAAAGAAGAATCCTTTCCAAAAAAGCTCGATTTAAAGTCTGTGTAGACAGGTGCATTGTAACTGAAAAATTACAGGGGGTGATAAACAGCTAAAAAATGATTGAGAACAGTAATTTTAAAATGTTATTTTATATCCATATTGTTTGCAGAGATCCTGTAGAGATTGCTTTACAACAAACAGTGTATTTCTATCAGAAGTTTGCTTATCTCCTGCTGAAGTCTGTGGGAAGTCCATATAAAAAATGGGTAGAGCAAAAGTAGTTGTCGGTACACTAATACTATGGGGTTTCAAATTTATCTGAAGATTTACTAATATTGCAGAGAGAAACTATCTTCCTAGAAAAACTTTAAAGGAGCCAGGAGGAAAAGAGACAGTAAGCTTCTGCTTAACTCACATAATCTGTTACACATTGAAAATATTGACTAGGAGAAAATATGGCAATCAACCCAAAACAAAATGAGAAAAAAATAGGAAGAGTTTCAATGTGCAGTCAAATTGCCTCAGAAGAATCCTAAAAGACTGAGATAACACTCATTCCCCAAAATGAATGATTACAAAAAAAACAACAGGAAAGACACTGAATTTACTGCCTCAAAGTCCCAATCTGGTATTTCTTCTATTTTTATGCTTTTTTTTTTTTTTTTTTTTTTTTTTTTTTTTTTCTATCAGTACTTTTATAAACTGAAATGCAATGACCGGCAATAAGCTTTTATTTCTAGATCAATTATTTATGTATCAGTAGTGAACATGGTTTGATACACTGTATTTTTGGGAATTCATTTTGCATAATTTTATGCTTAATATATAATATAACTGTAGTTTATATTTTTTCTTTTTATGTCTGTAGTGTAAACCAAATACTGAGTTATTTTACAGTCACCGCTCGCTTATGTTGCAATTATCTATTTATGTAAGTTTCATTTAACTACCAATCTGTCAACAGACAAAAATCTTTCTATAGTATCCTGTATTCTGTAAACCTAAAACCACTTACAGATGCTGACTGTATAGCATGTGACATACTTAACAGTGATGCCATTTAATCTGATACGGTCTTTCATTCCTTCCCCTCCCATTTAAACTTGAATATTTTTGTTTCTTTGTGCCATTTTGCCATTTTCTGTGTCTGTGACATATGCTTTCCTATTTTGAGAAGGAGTCTATGAAAATATTATTAATCCTCTGAACACCAGTTTTAAAAAATAATTGCTGAAAAATGCTGGTCTGTAAGAGGGAGCTATTGAAGTGGGAAAATGATGTCATTACTCAGAGTAATCTATGAAAACGTAGATTTTACAGAGGAATGTTCCAAGACCTGGGGCAATGTCGTTGGACAGAGCTCTCCTATGCAATGATACTAATAAACTCACTCTTGTAGGTTTTATTAGTATTCATTTGTAGTCTCCTGTCTTTTGTGGATTATTGCCTTCTGGTCAGAGTGGCACCTAGAGCTGAGTCAATCATAGTTCAGTTTATTGGATTGCAGTGTGTCTGTTGTGTTGTGTAATAATTAAGAAAAAGTAACAAGTTGGATTGCTTTAATAATCATAGGGTATAAGCCTAATGAAGCCAAGTAAAACTCCATTTCTACTACATCTCAGAAGACTAGAAAAGTGCTGCAAATAAGTAGTCCCAGATAGAAACAAATGTCATTTTGAACCCTTTGAATATTGTTCAAATTGTCATTTTTGTTTTCAAGCTTTCTCTGTCAGACTGGGTTAAAACTTGTTCATTCAAATGAACTGGAAGGGATACAAGAAAATCAAAGAAATGCATTTTTCCTCAGGGAATTTATTGTTTTATCATTTTAGGCAACAGGCCATATCACCAGGTCTGGGCAATCAGCAGATTATTCACATGTAAGCTAGAGGACAGGAATATCCTGGACAGGTTCCACAAGGCCACTCTGTCAATGTAGACCCATGGCTGTCCAGAGCTACTCAGATGGGGACAAACCGAAGAGTTAGCTGTAAATTTCTACATTTGGTCAGGTGAATCACTCTCTAGACTCCACTGATTGTATTGATTAGATATCTACATAAGTCATAGTGGGATCTTAGCCACCTGAAGGTAGGTATGTCAGTGTATGAGGAGGTGCCAGCTGCTAATGTCGGGTTAGCAGCACATTCATTGGAATTCATAAACAAAGAAAAATAAATTAAACTTTTTACATTTTCTGGCATTTCTGTATGATTACAAAGATTATAATATATGAACCTATATATGTATTCTCTCGCAGTTGGTATTCTCTCACAACTCACTGGAATTCAAGCTATTTGGTACTTCAGGAAAGGCAACAAATTCCTTGAGACTTGTTAAGGAAAAATCACAGTGTAAAACAATGGTGTTTATGCTTGTGTGGGTGCAGCTGTGTCAAAAAAAAGCTATAGACCTATCATCAAATTCTGTTAACTTAGTTGATGTTCAATCATCTTTTCTCAGTCCATCTATGTTCAGTGTATATTTGGAGGCATGATTCTTCCCTTCAGAAGCCTCAGTGATATTAAGAGCTTACAAATGTTTGTGCGGTGTTTGTGTGATGAGAACAGATAGGCAGATCTGAAAGTAATGTTATCCTAGGAGACTTTGGAAATGTAGATTGCCAAACTTTATCACTTCTTGTTATTATACACATATTATGTGTACAAAACCTATATTTGATAAAGGACATTTTGTGTGAGATACCTGTTCAGCTGGACTAGTAATAATATTAAAGCAGTAGCTGACATGGGTGTGGTTTTATGTTACTTAATCCCAAAATATTTCTTCATGTAATTTAAACAAGTATATTGTCTTGTACAATAATAAGGGAATTTTTTAATGTGGTAGTCATATCAGAATTATAGTTATTATTCATGCAGTCTGTGCCATTGATATGTAATTTATGTTTGGTCTCTTCTTGTTTTCCAGGTCTCCCAACAAGGACATGGCTTCAAATGAAAGAGAGATTGTGGTTTGGGTTTGCCAGGAAGAGAAGATTGTATGTGGCCTGACAAAGCGCACAACTTGCACAGAAGTGATTCAGGCGCTGCTTGAGGAACATCAGGCAACATTTGGAGAGAAAAAGGTCCTCTTTGGAAAACCTAGTGACTACTGCATTGTAGAAAAATGGAGAGGTTCGGAGCGAGTACTTCCTCCCCTGACAAAGATTCTGAGACTTTGGAAGGCCTGGGGAGAAGAGCAGTCTAATTTGCATTTTGTGCTGGTAAAGTCAGATGCTTTCCTCTCATTTCCATTGTGGAAGACAGCTGAAGCTAAGGTAGTACAAAATGTAGAAAAACAGTGGGAGCTCAGTCCAGCAAATTACATGAAGATGTTACCAATAGACAAGCAAAAGAAAATTGTGAGGAAGACTTTCCGGAAACTGGCCAAGCTTAAACAGGACAGTGTTCAGCAAGAGAGAGATAATATGGAGACACTGATCCATCTGATAATTTCTCAAGATCATACCATTCATCAACAAGTCCTTAGAATGAAGGAACTAGATATGGAAATTGAAAAATGTGAAGCGAAATTCCATCTAGATCGTGTGGCCAATGATGGAGAAAATTATGTGCAGGACTCCTACTTAACAATTAATCCAAGTGAGGCTGAGCAGCAAGGTAGTAGGCCAGATGATCAAAAAGAGATGCATGACTATTTGAGCAAAAGTGAGGGAATTTTACAGGTTGAAGAGAGACTGAAACATCACAAACAATTAATAGAGAAGCTGTGTGCTGAAATTGAAAAAGAGGTGCATGGTATATGCACAGAAAAAAATGGAGATGATGCTCACACAGAGGGAGCTGCTAATGCTGAACTGGAAACCTCAAATTTGGAAGGTGTAAAATACGAGCTGGAAAAAAGTATGAAAGATGGTCTGAGAATCAACTCATACCTGAGCTGTGTTCAGAAAGAACTTACATACAGGGACTCACTGCTTCAAAAGAAGGAAAAAGAATATGAACTTCTTACAGAAGAATTTAATTTACTACATGTTAAAGACAACACTGAAACTGGGCTTCCATCAAATGAAGAACCATCGATGGGCAGTGGCATCTCCAGTAGCAGCATTGCTGTTCCTGACTTTGTTCATAGAGTGACTAATCTGGACATAAATGATACAGACTCTGACACTGGAATCAGCTCTACGCACAGTCAGGACTCTGAAACAATTTCAGGGGACATGGTACTGTTGTCAACATAGTTGAAAACAGTCATGCACTTATGAAAAGTCATATTTTGGCAGATATTTATAAGAATTAGTAAACCCTGTTGTCTTGAAAGTTTAGCCCTTCAAAATGTTAAAACTGTCACTGCTTTAGCAAAGTAAACAGCGTCTATGTGCTTCGTAATATACTTGTGCTTAAATGCATGGGAAATCTCATGGGTTAACTGCTAATAGGTGCAAGGTTGTTGGCTTTGCTAAATCAGGACAGACTGTTTAAACCTTGTAATGCTGATACTCAGTGAAACAGGAGCGTTCTGACCAGCTTGGACCAAGTCTGGAGATCTGATATCCCCTAATCTTTGGGTCTACTTCTGCATCTCTCTAACTTGATAGGAATGTGAAACAGAGATTAGACCAAACTAGACAGAGAGCTTGATTTTCTGCTCTGTTACATTAGCTTTTTTCATCTGGACTTTCCCTGCCATGATGCTGTTGTACAGGAATATATAATCTGTTAAAAAATAGTTTTTATCATATTGTAGGACAACGAACAAATGCAATTGCAATTGCATTTATGCAATTTAAATTTAGTTTTATCAGGATGATACTTTCAAAACCACCTAAGTCCCATTTTAAAAATTACCTTACACATATATGGTTTTAATTTCCATACTCTTTCAGCAGCGTTTAACTGCTTCTAAGATCCTTAAACCCCCTACTTACCTGCTGTTACCCTGTAGTTGCCCCAGTGATGCTTAAATCCACATAGTTCCTGCCAGCGGGCATGTCAGAACCGCCTACGTCCTGCTTGTGCGAGACGCTCAAATCCAAAGCTCACACCTAACCCCAGGGGCATTTTTAGCAAGGCTTTCTCCTGCCTATCTCACCAGTTGGATCCAGTGTCTTAGGCCTTCTCAGATCATGACTACCAAGAAGGGACAGGCAGGAACCAGACATTTTTGGCTCTGGCTAGACACTCCTTCCCAATGGTCAGGTAGTTACCAGTTTCACATAGCAGGTAGGTTGTCAAATCCCATCTCATGCTGTTTTGGAGCTGGGATATGGACCTCTAAATCCTACTTCCTTGGTGAGGACTTTGGGATACAGCTAAAGGTGATCCACTTCTATATAGCTAATTAAATGTTGCCCCCCCTCCCCCCCCCAAAAGAAGGAGCACAAAACATGAGGATTTTACAACTGTGTGGTTCAGTCACATTATTTCACTTAGGATGTAGTAGTTGATCTCAAATTATTCTCCAGCACGTTGCTGTAAATCCAAACTAAAGGTGTAAAAGTGAGGTGTTCTCCTCAGTTACTGAACATGATTTCTAACTCTGACCTAAAGACTCTGTTAAGAGAGAGTACATGAGTAGTTGCGGGGTTGCCGTGTTTATATTTTGCAGATCAATCTGTTTAACACTTTTGATTAAATGAATGGAACGGAGAAATAGTTACAGTGTTTCTAAACAAAGTTTAGCTCTAGCAAAATTCAAGCAGATCCTGGAATTAAAAGCCTACAAAGTGAGTGAATGGACAGTACCTAGAAGGTATAAATATAAGATACACTGCTTTCGCTTTCTGTATTTTTCTTCCTTAAATAATCTGTTAACTATCTGTTTTCTAAAATAACCAAAGTGCTAGGACTGCTGATTAGTACCCATTTGATGCAGAAAAAAAAAAAAAAAAAGGCCTTTTCTGAGTTTTTTTAAAGTTGTTTTTAATCCTGGATATTATAAATAGTTTCTGTTCCAGGAAAGTGTGCTAGTTGCCTTAATATATTTTGTGTTGTGTTTTTGTCATACAATATTATTTGAATACTTCGATAATAATATGTCATATTTAGACACATCAGCTCCTGATGGAAATGCAAGTATGTATCAAATATATTATCTTGTAATAATTTATTAACGCAACTCAGCATCTTTTGAACTCTGGAGTATCACTCTGAAGAGTAGTAAGCACAGAGCTCTGAAATGTTGAGAATAGACTATTCTATGAGTTCTTGTGAATTTAGTTAACAGTTATTTCTAAGGAGTCATTTCTTAAATATAAATACTTAGGGGATAAAAAATTCAAACAGAATAATATTCGCAGCTGTGCAGGCTAGTACAAAGACCTATGGGGGAACTAATTTCCACTCCTATTCCATAGGAACTTGTACTGGTTCTCGGAACTGATCGTTGTCCACGCTATGTAGTTGATTGTACATCCCCTGCAATGTGTAGGTCTTAAGAGTATTACTGTGTTTTAAGAAGAAAATAGGAAAAATAAGTTGGGAGAGAGTATTTCTTAAAAAATAAAACAATATTAAAAACCCCAGTGTTTTGAAGCTTATATTTGAAGCTTATACTTTGATATGTCAAACTTGTTTCTTTTAGAATTCAGATGAATGTACAAGATGATTAAAGACTGTGTGCACTCTGCTGTTTATCTCCCTCTGTGAAACTTTTTGCTCCTTACTTAACTATTCTTCCTTTGTCTCAACTGTCTATGATTTCTTTTTTTTTTTTTTTTTAATTCCCATAAGGAAATGCCCAGTCAAAAACTTTGGCTAATTTCCTGTAATTCTTTTAAGCCAGTTCCCTTTCTATCTTCACATTTTTGTTTTATTTTATAAAATTTTCCATGAACTATGTTATGCTTACTGACAAGGAGGAAGATCAAAAAAGTCCTGCATAAGAGGGGAGAAAAATTCTACCCAGGGAATGAAAATGAGAAATGTCAATTTAAAATTAAAGGAAATTCAGTCCATTACACACATCTGTACAAGCAGTTTTTGATAGAAGGACACATTTCTTCAGAGTAAGAGGAATATTGTGGCGATGGCGAGTAGGTGCCAGACTTGGCCTGTTTCATGACTGTTTTGGGATGGGATAGGTTAGTCCCTGATATGAATTTAGGCAGAGATCAGTGACTGTCATCCGGGCTAACAGTACTGAAATGAATGGACTTGCCTAATACAAAGTTCTGTGGATCCCACATACTTAAATAGTTTCACATATATATTTATAACCAATATAAGTTCAACAGTTTCCAGGGAACATAGTGTATACCCCAATCTCATGTTTCTGCCTGACTTTATTATATACCTTTACAAATTTCATGAAAGCAGATGAGTCAATTTAATTACCTGCTTTAGTTCCTTGATGACTCTTTCAAATATAAAACATAATTATCATTTGGCTATATATAAATTTACAGTATTTACCATCCATTTATGTTCTTCAAAATTACCACATAATTACAGAATTCATAGAATCATAGAATACCAGGTTGGAAAGGACCTCAAGTACCATCTGGTCCAACTTTTCTTGGCAAAAGCATGGTCTAGACAAGATGGCCCAGCACCCTTTCCATCTGAATCTTAAAAGTGTCAGATGTTGTGGAATCCACCACTTCTCTGGGGAGATTATTGCAATGCATGATTGTTCTCATTGTGAAAAATTTTTCTCTCATGTCCAGTTGGAATCTCCCCAGGTGTAACTTGTACCCATTATCCCTTGTCTTCTCCATGTAACTCCTTGTAAAAAGGAACTCTCCATCTTCTCTGTAGCCACCCTTCAAATACCAGAACATGATGATGAGGTCTCCCCTAAGCCTTTTCTTCTCAAGGCTGAACAAACCAGGGTGAATCCACCAAAGTGATGCATATTTTATTTTCTTTCATAATATGTGAGCATTCCTTGCTAAATTTTTAGTATTCTTGTGACTGTTCATTCTGTTAAAAAAAAAACCAACAAAAAAACAAACAAACAAACAAAAAAACCCCACAACACATTATTTTCCAGTTTCATGTCATGAAAACACTGGTTTTGTAATAAAATATCTTTGGTAAACATTTCCATTAACAGTGCAAGTGGAACACACACTTAAGAACAGAAGTCTCTAATCCAAAGTCCTTTTTTCTAAACCTACTTTAGACCCTATCTTTCTGTCTCACAAGTTTAGTTAGCTTGGACATAAATGACTGTTTTCTTCCAAGAGCAGCATGCTCATAATGATTACACAGATAATATTTTTCTTTTCCTAGAGTTGTGCTGTTTATCCTTTTTGGGTATTTTACTACACTATTTAAAGGACAACTAGGTTATTTGGCATTTTATAACTTCCAAAAATAAATTGCTGCTTGCTATTTTTCTCAGGGCTACATCTGACAACATAAACGTACTTCAAAACAAATATGACTACATTTCCACTGTCCATAACATAATCATTTTTCCATCTATTAAAACCGTTATTTTTTTCCTGAAATATGTTTAAATGAATATAGGGTTTTTTAAAATATTATGTTGCCTTTGTGATACAGTATTTTGTAAATGTAATAGTCTCATTCCAAAGTTGGTTGGTTTTTTAATTTAACAAGCAACTCAGAATATACTATGTCAAAATCTCACAGTCCTTTCTCAAACAAAACTGTTCATGACTGAAATTATTATCTTCCAAAGAGACAACTGCTGGTATATAAAATAGAGATATCAAGATTTTATTTCTAATACTTAACAGATTCTCATATTTAGTTAATATGCCTTACATCAAACGTAAGTATTCAGGTAGATGACTGATTCACTCAGACTGATTTTTCTGGAATCAGTTTTGTGGCTGCCTTGCATCTCTGACAGATCAGGTCCAACTGGAATCCAGTCACTAATTTCAGTGGGAGCTGTTCATATTACAGGCCTTCAGATTCAATTCAGGAAACATTCCCTAATAAGAACATATAGTTACATTTGGGCACTCTTGCACTTTTCCTGAATTATGAATAAAGTGTTTACATTTAATGCTACAGTCATTTTTTCAGGTATAAAAACAAAACAAAAAAATGAAAACGCACCACCTCCAAAACTTCAAATCTGTCTAGAATTTATACCAGTTTTCTATCTTACTTGTCTGAAATTTGAGGATTTTTGTATCACTGATTCATTCAAAAACCAAACATTCCATTTTCAAAAATATTTACAGTAAGAATGGTTGACTGTGCTAGCTTTGTCAGCTGAATCCCACATATGGGTGGGAAAATGTAGTCTTTGTGCATGTAAATGCAGGTTTTTGCTTATGCAATGTCTATATGCATATTTTGCTTGACTAGCCTGTTGGTTGAGATTTTAGTTCACTCAAATATTTGTAAACTTAAATTGTGATGTTTAATCCATTAACTGACATTCATTTGTCAGGAAATAATAATTCTTTCTGGGAAAAGAGGAATTATTTTAAGAACAATATAGGGATCAACTTGCCAGGATCTAGTTAAGAGAAAGTAAAAAACCCAGGTGGTACAAGAAGTTCACTGTCAGCTGGAAGTTCAATTTAATCCTACAAAGTATCAAGGTTAGACAGATCATATAATATTAACTATGGAGAAACTCATGCAGTTACTTCCTGTGATGAAGAATTTGTGTTGTTCCACAATGCAAATCATTAGAGGAGTATACAAGAAACAAAAGTATCTGAGCACTTTACCAGTGCATTCCTGAGAATACTACATGTCAGAAACTCTGCTACAAGATTATAGATGGAAAGAGAGTTATTTGCATGAGGAAGTAGCTGTTAATTCCTTTCTGTCTGTATTCAGGGTTTTGTTAGGCACAGAGAGGAACCTTTTGATTTAGAGAGCTTTCCTCATTCAAGACCTAGAAGTAGTGTAGACTCCTTTTGTATTACACTATAGTGACAGAAAATTGTGCAGTGTTCATGGTAAATTTGATTCTTTCGCAGGTTGCCACAGACTGTGTGAATGTAAAGCTTATTTGATGATTTTCAGTGATTCTGATATGACTCATCTCCATGTTTTACCTAAATAATTACCAGTTTTATGCATCTGCAGCTTCATGGAATTTCCATTATGTTCATATCTGCACTTTTGTGAGTTTTTCTGTGGTTAGTTCAGATTTTATGTAGAATTTTTTCCAACATCAAATATTGTGCTCTTTTATGTTTGTTCCTATTTTGCTTTTGATCAGCTGTATTACAAGTTCTTACTTCTGAGTGCATGTATTTGTTTTAAACTGCAGGTTATTGCTTCATATTTTGCTTATATATTCATAAAATAGATATACATACTTTCTTGGGGAAGGAGGTTACTGCTAAATCTCGGTTCACCAAGTTGATTAGCCTCTTAATAGTTTACATATAGTAAGTTACCCTTACTTTTGCTC